TCGTTAAATTTGCAAAAGAAATTTCATCAAAATAAGTACTTTCGTTTACCAAGCGAGCGGGTAGAATCATTTGATCGTTACTTGCGCTACAGCCAGGAGCGAGTCGAATAAGTTTTAACGGAGGTTTGACGAGAATCGATTGATGTTTGGGACAAGAATTTAGACAATTAATTGAGAATCGTGTCTGTTGACGCAACACAACCATCAAAATCCGTTGACAAAATATTCACTCATAGTCAGAATACCGTTTGGCTTAACTGAAATTTCACATAGTTTGGAGATTTTCTCATTATTATTATTTTTTTTTTTTGAAAATACTATTAAAATTACAAAACTCGACAACCGGCTTAGTACATGTTTCTGTCCACATACACGTCGTTATCGGATCCCGATTCGGTAATCAGAGTCTGATGGTGGCACATATTTAGATTTTCTTAAGTTCATGTCACTTGATGCAAACTAATGTCTATGTTTCCGTAAATGTTTTAACAGTATGTCTTTATATCGTTTGTCCACGTCAATGTCTTGGAAAATGTCATTATCTGTTGTTACGTTATTTATTTCTCTCTTTGTTGACTCCAATTTTGTAATGTCTCGGTCCATAATAGGTTGATTAAACAGCCACCTTTTAATTTAATAGTTCTGCCAGTACTATCAATAATCGTTACCGGGATCTTACTATAGTCTTTTTTTTTTATCGGTCGATACAATTGAATTGGTCAACATCACTCCTGGTTGACCCACTAAAAACCCTTTTCCAATACTTTGTACTAATAGGGCATCATGTGTATGACCTGTATCTTTCGACTTAGCCATACACATGGTGCTTCTTTGAGGACATAATGTAACCTCTGCCGTTATCCTCAGCAGTGAACATATATGTGCGTCCTCCTCTAATGGAACGTTCCATTGAACCTCAAACTTTTAAGGTCATAATATAGTCGAATGTTTTTATCCACAAGGATATCCCTACCTACAATTAAATTTCTATTCATAGTTGAAACTACATTAAACTTATGATGAACTTTCTTTCCCCCTAACCTAAAGTAAAACTCCGCACTACCATCTATTTCAATATTTTGTCCGTTAACCGACTGTAACGTAATACTTTCTTTCTTAAGTTTTGGTTTATACATGTACTTAAGGATTAAAATGCAAGAGCTAGGATTACCCGTCAAATTTATTTGAAATGGTGTTATACATATTTCTCTCCCCTTGTTGGCTGTATTACAAGGAGAGCTTTTAGTTTCCCTGGTTGAAGTTTGACCTATCATTTATTCTATTAGTAGCAATAAACTACATGCGTTCATTACCAACTTTTGCTAACACGGAGTACTTCTCGATTTGCTCTATCTAATCGATAGGATCGCCAAGAAATGGGTCTACTATAGAATGACTGCTCTGTAGTGTTACACTATTTGACAGGTGTCCAATTTGTGTGGATAACGTTTTGAAAAATTCTTCTCCCATAATGGCAATGATAGTAAGAAAAAATTACTTACATTAAGGTTTGGCACGTTGTGTTGTTATCACTTCCCGTTCGTTGTTAAAACAATTATCCTGGTCACGGCACCAATTAAAAGTATGTTAGAAAACATTTCTTTTTAGCATGATCGTCTTGGTTGTTATATAGAAAATATAACTGAAGTTCTTATATGGTTTATTCCGATAATGTTAGTCTACAGGTGGGTTCCTTATTGCCTCATATTGGTGGATTGACTTTACGACCTGAGCTGTCCGTTATCCGCAGACAAAACTGACTAAAAACGATGTTGTCATAGGTTATAAAGACAATACAGTAGTAAGGGACATTACAATAGAAAACAGAAACTTTAGTATGTAAGTTAATAGATGATAGAAAAGAACATAGCATAAGACACAAATAAAAACTACTAATCTTATTCATTAATGGAGAAATACTATTTGTTCCATTGTTTCAATGACATTGGTAGATTACCACTATCGTCATAACCTTTTTCATATATTTCGTCTACTTGACCACCGGAAGAGTGACGTATACTAGATTTGAGGAAGATAAAGTACCTCGGAAGATGCCTGAGTGCATTTTCCCACACATGTACTGTTCTAGGATGGAACAAATACTTCTGGAACTGTTGGGTATTTTTTTCTGTTCGGATCTGAAATTAGAATAATAACTCACCCAAGGGCGAGAGGTTACGTTGGTTTATACTAATGGGCGTTAGTTTGCTATAAACAAAAATTGTCATATAAGTTGTTTTTTGGTGTTTTGTTTAGTATGCAATAATCATCTTTTGTTGACAGACGTGGGAAATTTCTCTTACAGGCTCTTATAATGGGCATGGACTATCTTACTTGCTAGATTCCTAGTGGTACTGAACGAGACGACAAAGGATGCTATGCCTGCTTTATGACGAATATTCATTCCTGTCGGTCTTTCTGTATTTAGTGTCTCCTCCGATTGGCTTCCCTAGCTTGACAGAATTTCGTAGTTTCATCTTCTGGTAGGTCAATTACTATGCGCCCAATAGGTGCTAGAATAAGATCTTCTGATAAATGATCGTCCAAATTGAAATGATTGAAACAGGCTTCTCTTTATTTAATTTTATTTCTGATCTGTGAACCGTAAAACGAGTATGTACATTATTTTTAGATTATCCTGCATATTGTTTGGGAAATTTCATACATGACGCTCCCTCGTGATGTGCCTAATCCCGGATGATGATGGTGAGCTGTCAGAAGCTGTACGACCTATAAACCCTGATTCCTTGACTGCAGAGCAACCAGGTCACGGTCTGTCGACTAATATCAGCTCACTGATGACGCCACTGTCAGACATAGGTTCCGGAGATGCAAGGTAGTGTGGTCACCATGGTTTTGCCCTTTCCAGGCTTGTTTGTGATCTGCCTGTAATGTTGCATCAAGTTTGTTACAGTAACACGAGAACAACCGAGGGCTCTTGGATGGCCCCCACCCATTCCATTCCAACGGCTTGCTCCCGTTGTTGATGTGTCATTCAACCCTTTTTTTAATATACATGCATTTTTGTGTTTTCAAGGAGCGCGTCATTTTCATTTAAAAAAGGTGATGGGAATCTGTCGCTATATCGCCATCAAACCAAAACAGTCTGTTAATAATGGAGTTCTAATGGTCCATTTTAAAGTTACATAGAAATAGATTTCAGGTTTACTAATGATTTCTGTAAGTCACACCAACGTTAACTTTTTCCACAACGAGTGCATTTCATTGGTTTGGAAGAAAATCAGAGATTCGTCAGATTTTATCAGTTTGATATCAGCATAGTTTCTGAAAGCCATACCGAAATGTGTGTGCTTTAATTCCATATTGTTAAAAACCACACCAGTAATGTACACGTCATCCAACCACACAAAAGGCTGATTTTTTGAAGGATTTCTAACGCCTTTATTCAATTTGTGTACAACGTCACTACTCATGAGATACGCCATTCCTTGACAAAATGGTGGAAATTTGTCCCATGGATATTCCTTCTCGGAAACATAATACTTAGAGTTCTTGTCTCGAAATGGAAACACGTAATTATTTTTATAATTACATGCAAGCAAGTCTGTCACGGGTCTAGATTTGGTTTCTAAAGTAACAATATATTTTTGTAAACGCTCCAAATGGACAAATGTGTCATCATCAGTTTTAAGGACGTACGTAACGTTTTTACAGTATTTTGAAATCCAAGTAATGGCACTCTTAGCTTTCATCGTTAAATTTTTATAAGTATCATGAAAATTTGCCTGTAGTATATCTCCATATCTTTTATTTTCCATATTCAATTTGTCAGCAATAGTAAAATTATTAGACATTCCACTCACAAAGACAATTTTAACTTTATATTTTTTTAAATTGTCGCTAGAGCCCCAGGTTCCGCGGATAGCTAAACGTCGATGCAAATTGTCTGGGGCGCTGTGTACGTACACTAACATATTAACCGTCTTGTCAGAGCATACTTGGAATGGGTTCATTAAAAATATGGCTTCATAGAGCAATGTTGGGTGTTTCACTGTAACCATAGGTATATTTTGTGGTACTTTCGAAACAACCCTGGTGGTAAGTGACCATATTGACGTAGTTATGTAGATGCTCATGGCAATCACAGCAATTATGGAGAAAGTCACCAAACGATGTCCCCGGATTCTTAATGAAAAGAAACCTAAGATTCCTGAACGTTGATGCATTTCTGAAAAAGCAATAAAGGAAGACCTTAATATAAATTACAGTGAAAAGTTTTCTAAACCGACCTGTCCTGATGAAGATTGTATATAAGAAACATGTTTCGCGAGCATGAGATGAGCTGTATTTAATTTGAGAAGCTATGTATATTGTAAAAGTAACGTAACGACATGTATTGGTATTTGATTGATGTATTTATCCGGAAGCCACTCATAATTTAGTTCTTAGTCCCATTTGTGGATGACTATCTGATTATTTTTCCTGCTATTCCAACAAAATTTTTGATTCAAACTGAATTTTGCTTTTAATTTTCTAATTAAACATTTCTAATACATTTAACCTGCAGACAAGTCTCATACATTTTAACCTGCCAACATTTCTAGTACATTTCAGCTGCCAACATTTCTCATACATTTCAGCTGCCAACATTTCTAAAATATTTCAACCTGCCAACATTTCTAATACATTTTCAACCTGCCAACATTTCTAATACATTTTAACCTGCCAACAAGTCTCATACATTTTAACCTGCCAACATTTCTAGTACATTTCAACTGCCAACATTTCTCATACAATTCAGCTGCCAACATTTCTAAAATATTTCAACCTCCCAACATTTCTAATACATTTCAACCTGCCAACATGTCTCATACATTTCAACCTGCCAACATTTCTCATACATTTCAACTTGCCAACATTTCTAAAATATTTCAACCTGCCAACATTTCTAATACATATCATCCTGCCAACATTTCTAATACATTTCAACCTGCCAACATTTCTCATACATTTCAACCTGCCAACATTTCTAAAATATTTCAACCTGCCAACATTTCAACCTGCCAACATTTCTCATACATTTCAACCTGCCAACATTTCTCATACATTTCAACCTGCCAACATTTAAAATACATTTCATCCTGCCAACATTTCTCATACATTTCAACCTGCCAACATTTCTAATACATTTCAACCTGCCAACATTTCTCATACATTTCAACCTGCCAACATCTCTAAAATATTTCAACCTGCCAACATTTCAAATATATTTCATCCTGCCAACATTTCAAATACATTTCATCCTGCCAACATTTCTCATACATTTCAACCTGCCAACATTTCTAAAATATTTCAACCTACCAACATTTCTAAATATTTCAACCTACCAACATTTCTAATACATTTCAACCTGCCAACATTTCTAAAATATTTCAATCTGCCAGCCAACATTTCTAAAATATTTCAACCTACCAACATTTCTAATATATTTCTAAATATATATAAACGATATCACAACTATCAGACTATAAATTCATAACCTTAATGAAAACCCCGTAATGATAATAATATACAATTAGATATAATACAAAAGTACAACAATATATCTTAATAATAAAATATCACAGTATTATATATTATCACAGTATAACTATATCTATGCCGTATGCACATAAAATACTTATTTATACTACAATACTATTTCAATACATTTGAAATACAATATATGCTATAATATGCGATATGACATAAAGAATAATGTTAAATAAAAGTAAAACTAACCCAAAATTAACAAGCTATTAGAAACTGTTTTAACTATCAACTGTTTTTAACCTGTGAATTAATTAAATATAATTAAAGGTAATTATAAAATAATATGTAATAATTGCAAAAGACTACGCTTTACTTTAGATATAAAAGGTACCAAAGCATAGAAATTCAAGATGGCTGCCGTTACTAAACATTAAAATACCATAGTTACATTTACACACCTCTCATACAAAATATAGTTACCCAGAAAGACAATTACCCTATAAAATACCCAAAACACACATATCTGTGAAGTTATTTGAATTGAATTGAATTGAATAGAGTTTTACGTCCTACTTTTCTGCACCATGTGGGCTAATGATGACGGGCAACGTCATGCAGGGTGCAATGAGGGAAATTTTGCCAGAACAGCGGCATTAGCCTGCTCTTTTTCGATTTTCAACTGTCGAGGGATCTTTAACGTGCACAGCCTGTAGCACACGGGGCCTCGGTTTATTGATCCATTTGAACGACTAGACGCTTTTTCCCTGTCAGCCCTCTTACTCAAGTTATTTGAAGGAAATAACTATGATGAAAAAGGTTGAAGTAGCCAGATCAATTATTTCACAAAGGTTGATATAAAGTTTCCTTCTACTTCAAAGACCAAGATAAAAGTAAAGTTTCTGACTGGATAGGTGATGAATCTCACTGACAACTCACTAAGCTGATCAATGACAGAAGGTGACAAGGTCCAGTAAGGTCAGTTCAGTTAAGAAACCAAGAATGGGCAATAATAAGAACATTAGTATTAGGTCAGTGTAAAGTAATTATGTGCTTATTAAAACAGTAGTGGTGCATTAAGATAAGACAACATTTAAATAAAACAACCAAGTTTCTTTAAAAATGCACCCTACCACATATAGATATATCTTTCCTATATATCACATATAGGCGTCCTTTCATATTCAAAATAAAGAGGTGATTGCTATATAAAGTTACTATTAATAGACAGTTATTTACCTGTCCCATATAACATGATAATTTGATATCGTCTCAATTGTAAGAAATTTCAAGAATTTTGCCAGTATTGTAATACATTTCAACCTGTCAACATTTCTAAAACATTTCCGCTTAACAACATTTTTCAGACATTTTAACCTGCCACCATATCTTAAACATTTCCGCCTGACAATATTTTCATACATTTCCACTTGCCAACATTTCTCATACATTTTCAACCTGCCACCATATCTTAAACATTTCCGCCTGACAATATTTTCATACATTTCCACTTGCCAACATTTCTCATACATTTTCAACCTGCCACCATATCTTAAACATTTCCGCCTGACAATATTTTCATACATTTCCACTTGCCAACATTTCTCATACATTTTCAACCTGCCAAAATTTCTCATACATTTTCAACCTGCCAACTTTTCTTATTAATTTCTACTTGCCAACATTTTTCATACATTTCCGCCTCTCAACATTTCTAATACATTTTCAACTGACAAAATTTCCACATGCCAACATGGTCAACCTGTTGATTGTGTCAACAAAACTTAAGCCTCTAGTGGCCATTTGAATATTTGTCGGGGCAGTTCTTGGCCTCCGATAGCCTTTTTTGAAATTGTTGACTATATATTAACCGATTCACATTGTGTCTATGATAGCTAGGTTGTGATTTGTTAACAAGATTTTTTCTTACTTCCGTAACTTTTCGTCCGATTGTATAACTGTTGGATAACTATGGATACGTTGGATACAGTTATGTTAACGATAAAGTCAAACGTGTTCTTTCGTGTGGAACATTGGAAAAGATTTGATTAACCAATGTGAACACAAAATTAGTTTAGGTGATACCAGACAATGCAACTTTAATGTAAAACTATTTACGTTCTACATCTGGTGTGCACGTTGTACATTTATCATTTACCTCAATTTAAATCACATATTATCTTAACCTCTTCATAAATACCACCATTCACCACTGTAATAAAGCACTACCTTACTTAATTTCTTCAAAATATTTTAAAATTTCCAAAACTTACTAAGATTTTATGAAATCCTTACAAATATTTTGTGAACGTCATTACTAAAGTAGGTCACCACTCAGTACATTTATGTTAGAGTAATCTGACGTACAGGGACAGGAGCGACATTTTCAGAGGTTGATTTGAGTCTTGAATTTCTGTAAATAGTCTTCATAAGTATTAGAAATGTACGAAATATTTCAATCTATGAATTTCACTCACTATAGATATATCTTTCCTATATATCACAGAGTATCATAACATATTAAAAAATATAAATAACATATCGTCATTTTAACATTCAAACGCGGATAATTTATTTCGGGACACACATGGATTTGAAGGTTCAAATTTCGCCTGTGAGCTGTGTGTAAAATGTGATTTGTCAAAAAAGAATGGCCTACCTTTACAATCAAATGTGCATAAATCACATACCTGATAATAATAAGATACCTGTTAACTGATATTAATTTTAGATTTCGGGCTACATTAAACAGTCTGTGTGGCTTGAGGTGATATCCCGTACCTATTCTTCACTGTTGCACGACACTCCATTCCGTGCGCAATAATAGTTAAAGGGAATGATGGGACAAACTTTTATACGTGTAACGTGTATGTTTCATATAAATTAATGACGCCAGTAAATTTCCAATAATAAATAAATTAGAGTGAACACGGCAAGAACAGTGTAATCAATATGTTACTGATATCAATACGAATTCGTTGATCACTATATATCTTACGAAATGTTACCAAGAGAAATGATACTACATGTATAAAGATTAGCCATTTATAATTGATTTATGATCAATTTGCATCGTACTTTGATATAAATCTTTTATTTCATGACCTAGACAAATAATCTTTTCAGCACCTAACACTATATACGCGTCTTATGAACATCACAGTTAAAGCACTCCCGAGATCAGCAGCTTGACACATCAAGAAACCAAATGTGAAGGCTTTCTGGACGCTAGGTCATCGTAAAGGCCCGCTCTGCCCACTTTTTTCATTGGAAAAGGAAGCGACATAATCCCCGAAACTCCAAGTCATAGACATGTAATCAGTTTTTGGTAGGCTCACAAGACAGACGACTCAGTATACAATATCCACCAGTTTCAGATAGCATTGAAATACATATTCAGTTGTAAAAATACAGCCTGAATGTGACAACAAGGCAAAATTCACATACATGTATACCCGCTTTACATTACGATAATTATCGGCCAAGCGTTCTGCGAACCATTCCAATTCTGGCCCACCGTTAGAAGTACGATACCTGTAAATAAACAGTTCACATTCCTCTACAGGATTTTTTTACTTCTTTTCCTCTCGCAAGCTCAGTCAGACAATTAGAAGTATTGATATGTATTGAACATATGAATTGTATGGTAAAAACTCCCGTTAACCAAATACTGGTACAATATAAACAAATTCAGGGTTGGGCATTTTTATTAATACTGTACATAACAAAATTATTAAACAAAAGACTGAAACAGGGTTTGTTTATTTGATTTAGATCAAATTTTAAGTAAAATCAGATAACAGTTTTTTGTAACATTTAACAGATGTTGACTGCTTTTAATCCTATGACAAACAAATATTGCCTGGATCAACTTTTTGGTTTGTCCTGCATTATGCTTAACTGAAATGTAAAGTATATTATTTATATCATAAGCAGTTACTGGAAAAGGATTGACTAAATATGTGATAAACAATAAACCATACTAATAGTTCACTATCGTTTAGGCACAATTATTCTAAGCACAGGTTAGACACAGGTCATTTAGGCACAGCGTTTTTCAGGTGTGCCTATTTGACTAAAAAAAAGGCTTGCCCAGCGAGGTAGTATGCGCCCATTGGCAGCTTTGGTTTTTTTACAAAAATATATCAGTACAGTTACAATTAGCAGTATGAATATGAATATTCATCCTTCAGTCATACACTTAGTTTGAGCTTTTGGGGTTGTTATTGAACAAATTTCCATATTTTGCTATATCCGACATGAATCGAGTCTGTGCGTTGAGGACAACAACTCATTATATTCTAAATATTTTGATTTTCAATAGGGTTCATCCATGGTTGATAATAAACAATTTCGCTTCGTAAAAATCCGTGAAGAATTGTGCCTTCTAAAGTCTATACGGGCTGAAAATTTAATGAGTTTTCAATAACAAGGGAAATAACTCATACTACATGTACATGTTTTTTTCTGATTTTTAGTAGGGATCATCCTTGCATTACAAATATTCGCACCTAGTTACATCTAAATGGGTCAATAATTGTGCCTTCTAGAGTCTTGACGAGCTGAAAGTTGAACAAGATCAAGGGTACATATGATTCGGATTTTCAAGAGGGGTCATCCGTGAGTGATTAAAAGAACTCACACCAAGTTACAACTAAGTCCGTCAATAATTTTGCTTTTTAACGTGTTGTAACAATACCTACCTATATATTTCTCAAACTGATTCATCCTTGGATGATAACAAACACCCACATCAAGTTTCCTTAAAATCCGCCAAGAATTCTCACTTTGAAACTATTTACGAGCATTTAAAAACAAAGGCAAATTCTGATGATAATTCTCTTCTAATTTAGCTAATTATGAATTGATTATGGACATGTGAGACAAACTGGTAGTTTTCCAAGTCATTAGAACACGTCTACTTTCTATTCATATAATTTAAGCATTTTCATTTTCATAAATGAAAATGTGTGTATATATCATTCCAAATGTGTTTCGATTTTTCTGATACGATTCATCCTTGGGCGATAACAAACATTCATACTAATTTTCGTCAAAATCAACAAGTGTGCCTTCATGTCGCATTCATAAAGTATATACCTTGAATCACACATTTTAATATGAATAAATATACCCAAACATACTGTAAATTGTCAAGTTGGGTTTAAATCTAGAGAGCAAGTAAAAATTGAAAACATTTTTGCCATAGTTTTGATATACTGAGTCATAATAACTATAAAGTTACCTCTGAAAAAAATTTTATGACGTCATTGTTTGTGTATATTCTATATATTCTTTGTAGAAAACTGCTAAATAAAATATAGAGAAAGGACTTCTGAAGAGTATCTACCATTTTTATGTCAACAATTTATGTAAAATTCTGTAGTATCAACCAATTTATGATTACTTTGGAATGTCACCCTAGGTCTTTTTCTGCATGTTCTTGTTTTGTTTGGGCAACTGTACTATCAGAGTCTTGGAAAAAGTATTATCGATGAAGGTTGTTGTGTCCAAAGTGAAACTACTTTTCCTTTTACAAGTAAACCTTGGTGGGTGAATTTGTCGCTTTCTGAAAATCAAAGTAGACGATGCCAATTGAGTTGTTCTCGTCGGAGGCATTTGACGGGTAATCTAATACTGTTAGTAGTTGCAAGCTTGTTAAGCGACTACGTCTAAATCCATACCGTTATTCAAGTAGTAGATGGTATTTAAATTTTCAGGAGCCGAGGTTGAAATGAGTTTTTTTTATGGTATTTATAGTATAGAGTTTTGATCGAGATAGAGGTTCCAATATTTCACAAATGTTCCATAATCATTGACAGTTGTAAATATATTTATCTGTATATTAAATTGTATTGGATATGTAAAAAAAACTTACTTATATACATGTTCATACAAGTGTGTCATTGTAAAATTGTCGTTTTATTTCTTTTCTTTAAAACAGCCTTTCTTTGATAACTTGATTGATAACTCATATTTGGGCTATTTCATATTAAAGTCTGAGTTAACAAATGTGTACTCAACCGTTTAAAGTGTTGCTTTTGTTAAGTGTTTTATTCAGTGTGCCGAATATTTAAAATACCAATGTCGTCATTACAAAATGCATATGGCAATGTCTCTATGTAAAAATGCAATATGTATATTTTATTTCCAAAATCCAATGAAATGTCACAAAAATGTAGCTAGCATTTAACATGTTGAATTGGGCATTCTTCATTAGTCACTCTACATCAACCTGTGATTACTTACTCAAACGTAAACTAAATAAAAAACGGAGCAGAGCAAATCCCATGCAAATATTATTTCTGCTTACAGTGGTCTCAAACTCCAACCGGCAAGGTGCCGAAGGTAATCCCCTTTATGACGTTACTGTGTAGAACTTTCCTCTCCTCCTTTGTACATTAACGGTTTTGCAGAATCATCTTATACGGACACGTATATCACATAATTGCATTACATGGCTAATTTTTCACAGTCCACAGTGATGGAGGTGGCAGATTTAGTGACAGAATTGTTAGAAACCCAACTATACTACATCAGACCTGTAAATATCGAAAAATTTCCAAAAGAATGAGATGATAAAAAAGATAGCTTGCCAGGCAAGGTAATATACGCCCACTGGTAGCTTTGATTTTGAATAAAGATATTTAGCAGTACAGTAACAATCATCAGTATGAAATATTCAACCTTCAGTCATACACTTCTTTTGAACTCTTAAGGGCGATACTGAATAATATTGAGTATTTGAGTTTCGGGGAAAAGAGGGTTTTTAGCTCGTGAAAACTCAAATATTCAATCTTCAGCGCGGGACTGAATAATAAAACCAAGTTTTGTCAAAATCCTGCAAGAATCATGTCTTTTAGTGTTTAAGAGCTGAATTTGAAAGCCTTTTCAAGAACAAGGGCAATAACTCATACTAAATATTTTTCAATTCTTCTGATTTTCAATAGGGTTCATCCTTGGGTGATAACGAACACTCACACCATTTTTCGTCAAAATCTGTCAAGAATTGTCCCTTCTAGCGTGTTTACGAGCTAAAAATTTAACGCGTTTTCAAGAACAAGGGCAATAACTTATACTAAATATTTTTCGATTCTTCTGATTTTCAATAGGGTTCATCCTTTGGTGATTACGAACACTCATACCATGTTTTGTCAAAATCCGTCTGGAATTGTGTCTTGTAGAGTGTTTACGAGCCATTGTGGACGGACCGACGGACCGACTGACGGACATGGGTGACGGCAATATACGCCCCCCATTTCATGTGGGCGTATAAAAATCATATCAAGTTTAGTGATATTGGGTCATATCATATGGACAGATATACATTAACCTTAAGCCTTTATCTTCAGATACAAATAAAATCTTAAGGATTAATGTGTTAAAAATCCAGAGATAGGCATCAGAAATTTAATTAAGCAGTTTAAAAATTAGAATACAACATGGATATAAAGCGAAAAATTCTTAGTTTATTTCATTAACAATTGTTATAGTTATTTGATTATAGTTGTGAAGAAGCTACTTTAATACCAGAATAACAAGGTAAGTTATATAGTTTCTATGTAAAACACTTTATGTATCATGATGAATTGAGAGTAAATTATTATATTATTCATTATCAAATATATAGTTGATATAACATAAAGTGAGAATCCCCTGACTTGATAGTGATAACTTTCACAGCAACTATTGTAATTGGAGATCAAAATTAACAAAATTTTGAAATTCAATTTTAAAGGTAGTATCTTCAATCTAAGAATTAATATTATCATTAATGCCTTTTCCTGTGGTGTAAAGAATTTATAATACAATTAGGAATTGTAGAATCATCTGATTCCCTGTTTCATTTCCTAGAATGTGGCCTAGAGGTGGTAAAAATGGCTGCTGGGAACATAGTGTCAACGTAGCATTAATTTCAGCATTCAGCCATTTTATTTTAATAATTTTCTTTTAACAGATCTACATTTCAATATTTTTATTTTCAGATGAAGTCTACAATGTTATCTATGTTACTATTTTTGGTCATCATGAATATATGTTGGACACTAGTGTTTTGTTCTTCAGAATCAGGGTCTGAATCTATGGAAAGCAGTGGAGATGATTCCAGTCAACTAGTAATAACTACAGACATCTTAAGTGAATAAAAAATAAGATAGAGAGCATGGTGTCAATTTCTATATCAAAATTAAACCACATTTCTTTTATATTCACAAAACTTTGTTCAGAGTAACTGTTTATTTTGTCCTGATAACTTATGTTCCTTGAAATTGTTAATACTGATGATTCAAGAATTAAAAAAAAAAAAATGACTAATATGGAAAATTTTATCAAATATTGTTGACTTTGTAACTTTTCTGTAAACATTATTGTTAATTTTAATTATTAAATATTGTTAATTTCTAAATCTTTATTAAATATTGTTAATTTCTAAATCTTTATTAAATATTGTTAATATCGAAGTCAATCCCAATTCTGTTAGCCCATAGCCACAGGAAAACAAAAACACTGGATCCTGTGCTATTCCATGTGCTCCTCATTCTATGTAGGCTTCTCCTGCAAGATAACCTGTTAATTTCAGGGTAACAACAATCCACACCCTACAAAAGACACACACCATGTGTCCCTTTATTTCAACTTGCTACTTTCCAAACTCTGTATCACACCATGTTAGACCAACCAAAAAGTCTGGCATTAGCATTTAGGCAAGCTATTCTCAAGCTTGCATTGCTTTCTAATTGCCTCTGCATTTAACCTGAAGCATGAGGTCTATTTTCGCTTCACATTTGACTAGAAACGCCTCCTCATTAGGTCAATTTCTAAAAACTAAATCGGTTGGTTAGCATTCTTTATAAAGTCGTTCCATATCAGAAGAAAAAACTACGTCTATAGGTGTGTCACATACAATTTGAATACAATAATGACCACTGGATGTAAAGTCCAATGCACGGTTCTTCCCAAAGATTTCAACTTCATCATGCTCAAGATCCAATTTAACATCGGCATTTTTTTTGGCAGTTTTTAAACTCAATAACAAAGGAATGTTGAAATAAACTACATCAATTTCCAAAACAAACTGATGATCAGCAATAACGTATAGGCCATGCACACATTTCATAGACAGCAAGCATTTACCACCTCTAAAATTCAAACATTTCGTTTCTTTAATTTCCCTCTGTCTGTTTTCAGGGAATGTGCTAAGAAAAGTTTCATATGAGTATTTGTCGCTAAAAGTGCTTGAACAATCTGTATCTATTACTGCTCTAATTTTTCTATTTGATATTTTTAATGTTTCAAGTTGTTGTCTTCAAACACAAATCAATGTAGTTGTATAATGGTTTATTTAGAAAAGTTGTTGTCTTCAGACAGAAAACAATGTATTTGTACAATGGTTTATTTAGAAAAGTTGTTGTCTTCAGACAGAAAACAATGTATTTGTACAATGATATATTTAGGAAGGTTGTTGTCTTCAGACAGAAAACAATGTATTTGTACAATGATATATTTAGGAAGGTTGTTGTCTTCAGACAGAAAACAATGTATTTGTATAATGATATATTTGGGAAGGTTGTTGTCTTCAGACAGAAAACAATGTATTTGTACAATGGTTTATTTAGGAAAGTTGTTGTCTTCAGACAGAAAACAATGTATTTGTACAATGATATATTTAGGAAGGTTGTTGTCTTCAGACAGAAAACAATGTATTTGTATAATGATATATTTGGGAAGGTTGTTGTCTTCAGACAGAAAACAATGTATTTGTACAATGGTTTATTTAGGAAAGTTGTTGTCTTCAGACAGAAAACAATGTATTTGTACAATGATATATTTAGGAAAGTTAATGTCTTCAGACAGAAAACAATGTATTTGTACAATGGTTTATTTAGGAAAGTTAATGTCTTCAGACAGAAAACAATGTATTTGTAAAATGGTTTATTTAGGAAAGTTGTTGTCTTCAAACACAAATCAATGTAGTTGTATAATGGTTTATTTAGAAAAGTTGTTGTCTTCAGACAGAAAACAATGTATTTGTAAAATGGTTTATTTAGGAAAGTTATGGTCTTCAGACAGAAAACAATGTATTTGTACAATGATATATTTAGGAAGGTTGTTGTCTTCAGACAGAAAACAATGTATTTGTACAATGATATATTTGGGAAGGTTGTTGTCTTCAGACATAAAACAATGTATTTGTACAATGGTCTATTTAGGAAAGTTGTTGTCTTCAGACAGAAAACAATGTATTTGTACAATGGTTTATTTAGGAAAGTTGTTGTCTTCAAACAGAAAACAATGTATTTGTACAATGATATATTTAGGAAAGTTGTTGTCTTCAGACAGAAAACAATGTATTTGTACAATGGTTTATTTTGGAAAGTTGTTGTCTTCAGACAGAAAACAATGTATTTGTACAATGATATATTTAGGAAAGTTGTTGTCTTCAGACAGAAAACAATGTATTTGTACAATGGTTAATTTAGGAAAGATTTTGTCTTCAGACAGAAAACAATGTATTTGTACAATGGTTTATTTAAGAAAGTTGTTGTTTTCAGACAGAAAACAATGTATTTGTACAATGGCTGATTTAGGAAAGTTGTTGTCTTCAGACAGAAAACAATGTATTTGTACAATGGTCTATTTAGGAAAGTTGTTGTCTTCAGACAGAAAACAATTTAGTTGTATAATGGTTTATTTAGGAAAGTTGTTGTCTTCAGACAGAAAACAATGTATTTGTACAAAGGCCTATTTAGGAAAGTTGTTGTCTTCAGACAAAAACAATGTATTTGTACAAAGGCTTATTTAGGAAAGTTGTAGTCTTCAGACAGAAAACAATTTAGTTGTATAATGGTTTATTTAGAAAAGTTGTTGTCTTCAGACAGAAAACAATGTATTTGTACAATGGTTTATTTAGGAAAGTTGTTGTCTTCAGACAGAAGCAATGTATTTGTACAATGGTTTATTTAGGAAAGTTGTTGTCTTCAGACAGAAAACAGTGTATTTGTAAAATGGTTTATTTAGGAAAGTAGTTGTCTTCAGACATAACACAATGTATTTGTACATTGGTTTATTGAGGAACGTTGTTTTCTTCAGACAGAAAACAATTTCTTTGTACAATGGTTTATTTAGGAAAGTTGTTGTCTTCAGACAGAAAACAATGTATTTGTACAATGGTTTATTTAGGAATGTAGTTAACTTCAGACAGAAAACAATGTATTTGTACAATGGTTTATTTAGGAAAGTTGTTGTCTTCAGACAGAAAACAATGTATTTGTACAATGATATATTTAGGAAAGTTGTTGTCTTCAGACAGAAAACACTGTATTTGTACAATGGTTTATTTAGGAAAGTTGTTGTCTTCAGACAGAAAACAATGTATTTGTACAATGATATATTTAGGAAAGTTGTTGTCTTCAGACAGAAAACAATGTATTTGTACATTGGTTTATTTAGGAACGTTGTTTTCTTCAAACAGAAAACAATTTCTTTGTACAATGGTTTATTTAGCAAAGTTGAATGTTGTCTTCAGACAGAAAACAATGTATTTGTACAATAGTTGATTTTGGAGAGTTGGTGTTTACAACCTAAAATATTTTTCGATTGTATTCATTTTCGATAGGGTTCATCCTAAATAATTTTAGCAAGTTTCGTGTATACAAGCTTAAAGAACAAGGGCGTATAAAAACAACACAGCTCCGAGCGTGGCAACGAGACATTATCCCATGGCTTTTGAACCTTTTGAAACTTCTAGCCTGTGCTTTGTAGTCTACAATTTGTGAACAAGAAATTAAAGGTGGTTTTCCTTATTTATTTGTGTCAAATTAAGCAAACTGTTTGATTAATTGGTGTTTTGTAATGAATTATGATGTTTTCTTATCATATCATTATGTTCTTATTGCATATGATTAAGAGTTTTAACCAATCATAAATGTCCATGTATGTACAGTCTGGATAAACAAAAAAGACTTTTTGATCTTTCTTGATCGGTCACTTATTGGAATTTTGCTTGTAATTCTCTTCTAATTTAGCTAATTATGTATTACTTATGGACAAATGAGACAAACTGGTAATTGTAATTTAATTGCATTCTGTCCGAATAACAGTAATTTAATTTCATATTTGGTATGTACCACATAGAATCATCTTAAATATTGTCGTTGTCCAATTCTGAAATTATGTAAGTCATCGGATACAATAATGTAATACAATAAAATACAATACAAGTACAATTTTTAATCGATGACTTTCATATTTTCAGGGTATGTCTGTTAAATTTTGAAAGAGATCAGTTTACCAACAGCTGAGATATTACCCGTGGGAACTTTTTAGTGAGACCCGAATTTCACACAACATGCGCTCATATTGAAAATTATACAAAGGACAATCGTATATGTAACGGAAAATAACCGCTAATAATAGCACGCCATTATATACGTATAGTGATTTACAATAATTGAATATTTTCACTGTTGAATAGTGCATAATACATCAATGATAGAGATATATAGAAATATCAAAACAGAACTCGAATCATATTCAAAATAGAATTCAATTGCAATAAAAAAGAAAATGGATATTGCCTCCTTGGCTTATTTCATATTTATTTTTGAAACCTGTTCTATTCTTCTCAGTGTTCATGTTCGTTCCAAAAAGAAATTTGCAACCATGTGGTTTCAGGGAGATTTACAATAATTAAGCACCATTTCATTTTCTTACCTAAGACGTTTGATGTTGTTCAAAATCTTTCTTAGTGCTATTGCAAAGTGGTATCATCGGCAAAAATTTAGGTGATTGAATCCTTTAACTGAATAAATGTTGTGTATGTTTGTGGCGTGGTCAATCGCTTTTACACACCAATAATGCTAGTGAGACCAACGTTAAATTCTTATAATTATATTCAGATACTTTTTTTAATACAATTTCACTGTTTTATATGATGGGTTTCTTGAATTTGCCAAAAAAGATTGTGTCATTGTTGTTCTTTAACGACGTCATAGTGTCAAGTGACAATTACAGTTTATCGAAAAATAAACGCCAGTTTGCGTAACTGTTTCATTGAAGAAAGTGATAGTAGAAATGGAAATATATAGAAGTAAGTACATGTAATATATTTTAGAAATCTTTTTCTAATGATAAAAAAAGTGTCAACAAGTGAAGCGAATCTTTAAACCTCTATATACTCCTGAATTACATGCTATAAAATAAAAAGCGAAACATCATATTTAAGCATAAATTTATTTCGTTGGAGACAACATATGTAGCCTTTTCCACAGCAAGTGCATTTCATTGGTTTGAAAGAAAATTAAAGACTTGATATGTTGTAACTGTTTGAAATCGGCATTAAGTCTGTAAGAAATGGTTAAATTTGTGAGCTTTAATTTCAAATTGTTTATAACCATACCAGTTATATACACGTCATCTAACCACACAAAAGGCTGATTTTTTGTAGGATTTCTGACGCCTTCATTCAATTTGTGTATTAAGTCAAAACTCATGAGATACGCCATTCCTTGACAAAATGGTGGCCATTTGTCCCATGGATATTTTCTCTTAGAAATATAATTCTTAGAATTCTTGTTTCGCATGGGATTATGGTTCTTAAAAATATTACATGCAAGCAAGTCTGTCACGGGCCTAGATTTGGTTTCTAAAGTAACAATATATTTTTGTAAACGCTCCAAATGGACAAATGTGTCATCATCAGTTTTAAGGACGTACGTAATGTTTTTACAGTATTTTGAAATCCAAGTAATGGCACTCTTAGCTTTCATCGTTAAATTTTTATAAGTATCATGAAAATTTGCCTGTAGTATATCTCCATATCTTTTATTTTCCATATTCAATTTGTCAGCAATAGTAAAATTATCAGACATTCCACTCACAAAGACAATTTTAGCTTTATATTTGTTTAAATTATCGCTAGAGCCCCAGGTTTTGCGGATAGCTAATCGTTTACGTAAATTGCCTTGGGCGCTGTGTACGTACACCAACATTTTAACTGTCTTATCAGAGCATGCTTGAAATGGGTTCATTAAAAATATGGGTTCATAGAGTAATGTTGGGTGTTTCACTGGCATCACCGTGGTCACTGGCATCACCGTGGTCACTGGCATTACTGTGGTTACCGTGGTCACTGGCATTACTGTGGTCACTGGCATCACTGGGGTCACTGGCATTACTGTGGTCACTGGCATCACTGTCACATTGACTACTTTACTTGTCTCCAACTGCAGGTTTTGTGGTACTTGTGAAACAACCCTGGTGTTAAGTGATCTTATTGACATAGTGTTGTAGATGGTCATGATCACCACAGCAATTAAAGATAAAATCGTCAATCGATGTCTCCAGGTTCTTGATGAAAAAGCCCATAAATTTCCTCTTCGTAGATGCATTTCTGAAAAAAGAAAAATAGATGTTGATGTTATTACAAATTAAATTAAATTTTAATGGGCGCTGCTACTGCGACGAAAAGATGGTTCAGATCAGTCATTTCACCATAATCGTGGTATAAGCATGTAAGACACGCCAGATATCGTGCAATTTTGGCCATTTTCGCCAATATTCGCCGAGTTACGGCGTTTATTTTGGACATGGTTCGGCCATGGGATCGAAAATGTCGTCAGATAAGCACTGTCGTAGAAAAGACGCTGCAAAAACCCGCGGTATAATGTCGACTGTTTTTGAGTTTGCAATTTTTTAGGGACTTTTTGTCTGTTTTCTCACGTTTGATCACAAATGGTCACAGCCAGGGTCGCGGTGCTATACCTATACAATAATGTAATATTTTCACTGTGAAAATAGTGCTTAACACATCAATATTGTAGAGCGATAAAAAAATATTAAAACTGAACCTAAATCTACATCCTGCATATGGTATTGCTTTAAGCGCACAAACATTTATTTTCATTTCAACAAAAACCCTGATGTTTTAGTCAACTTATAAAATATATTTACCTTTCGCAAAATCTCCGACAGCAAAAAGTCTCCCGTTGATGTTTATGTATTGTACTATAACAAAATATTTTCAATGTGAAAATAGTGCTCAGCTGATACTTTTCGGTCTAAACTATATTCCGAGATTAAGCACGAAACTGTTGATGTGATCGATACTAAAGTCCTTTAGAAACCTGTTAAAATCGTCTTAACACAGTAGACGCATTAAATAGAGTAAGCTTTATTATCCAATTCTTACTGTAAACGGCCTACAGTGAAAGTTACTCTACCGCTGTGCAACATATCACGGTAATGAATAAAGGAAAAAGTGTGCTGCCGTAACATGCTTCTTTTGTCACATGATCATTGATATTAAATTTTCATTGAATGTATGTCTATCTATATTATACGAATGGGTTAAAAGATTGGCTTGTTGACCTTAATCTTTCAAAAACTAGAGTTGTATTGTTATCCACCAAACGACTAACATATACCAGACCTTTATTCAAGAAAAATAAAATAAGAAACAGTAGATTTGCATAAAAACTTGGGTGTTAAACTTTCTGATAATAAGTGATCGCATCATTTCGATAATTAGTCCAAAACGCCTGCCTAGAGCTACTCCAGCCTCTGCTGGATATTTTGACAGTTGTCGGCTAGGAGAGTCTTGTGAAATGGGGATATGTCTACTCTAAACTCCTCGTAAACATAAATATATTTTTACTCGGAAAACACTCAATAATATCTATAAAACTTTAACTTTGAAAAAAAAATTTGAACAGCCGGATTTCTTTTATCAAATTTCCCTCGAATGTTTTTACTTTTTTTTTATACGCCCACATCAAAATGTGGACGTATATTGCCGCCGCCCCTGTCTGTCCGTCCGCCCATTCACATTTCTTTATGCACGATTAAGGCTACAGTTTTTATTCAATCTTGACGATCTTGACGCACACATGGTGTGCATGTATATATTTATGAGATCTCGGTCAAATTCGAAAGTGGTAAAAATCAGATGAACGGTGTCTGAATTATTGCCCTTCGAAAATGGTAATAATTGGACGAACGGTTTCGGAGTTATTGCCCTTGACTTAGTAAAAAAACGCGTCAAATTTTGGATTTTATGGACGATAAAGGCTACAGTTTTAATTCAATCTTGACGAAACTTGGTATGCATGTATATATTGATGAGATCTCGGCCAAGTTCAGTTCGAAAATGGTAATTATCGGATAAATGGTTATGGAGTTATTGTCCTTGACTTGAAAAACGTGTCAAAGTTAACTTGTATGCACGATAGAGACAGATTTTATTCAATCTTGACGAAACTTGGTATGCATGTATATATTGATGAGATCTCGGTCAAGTTCGAAAATGGTAATAACTATTGCCCTAGACTTAATAAAAACACGTCAAATTTGGCTTGTATGCACGATAAAGACTACAGTTTTTATTTGATTTTGATGAAACTTGGTATGCATATATATATTGATGAGATCTCGATAAAGTTCGAAAATGATAATCAAATGAACGGTTTCAGAGTTATTGCCCTTGGCCTAGTAAAAACGCGTTAAATTTGGCTTGTAGGCATGATAGAGTTTACAGTTTTTATTTGATCTTGATGAAACTTGCATGTATAATAACCAGCAGTTCATATTCTAAATCCAATCCGTCGTTTTTAGAATTGTGTATATTTTTAACTTCCGCTTGAGCATCTGGTTATTCGTTGCTTTCGTCTTCACATGTAAGGCGTGCTATTTCATTTTTATAAATATTTCATTGTCATTGTCATGGCATTTTGTCATCGTAGTTCAATTATAGTATTTCTCTATTTTGGGATGACATAATATATAGGATAAGCGACTTCTCATTTTCGTTCATTTTCTACTGTTTCAACTAATTCGCGAATAGTCATGATTTCCGAGTCTTTTATTTTCATTGATACGTATTATTACGATAGGTGGCGCTAGGGATGTCATGTGACCCAGGCCTTTAAATACGGCGATGCACGCCTTATTTGACAGTTCGTTGTTGGGATCCTTCGGAACTAATAGGATAAAGGAATTATGCCTGGAACTGAGTAGGCATTGACTCCCTCTGGAGCGCTATAGGTATTTATATGGTTGTATTCTGATTCCAAGTATTTATTTGTTTTCCTTTCGCGACTCTTTTCGAGCATTTATGTATGAGCTGGATATTTTATGTGAATTAGGATTAAAAGCATTTATACTTTTGTTATTGAATCTTGTTTTGAGCCTTGCTACCCTTAGGCTAGCTCTTACCCACGAGAATTAAGCAACCTAGGAGAGCCACTCCACTCTACCAATTGTTGGCGAAACCCCAGTGTTGAAAAGAAGACCGAGTGTAGATTTGCTCGAAGGAATAAACCTAGGATATTACACATGTATATATTGATGAGGTCTCTTGGTATGCATGATGAGATCCGAGAATGGTAAAAATCGAATGATCGGTTTCAGAGTTATTGCCCTTGACTTTGTAAAAACACGTCAAATTTGGAAGGTAAACACGATAGAGGCTATAGTTTTTAATCGATCTTAAAAAAAACTTGGTATCGTCTATATATTGATGTTCGAAATTGGTTCTAATCCGATGAACGGTTTCAGAGTAAATGCCCTTGTGTGTACGGACAATGTTCATGTTTTAATTTGATGATAATTTGATGTAACCGATTTTGAGGTTTCGCCTCGACTTATAGATGATTTTAAGATTATTTCAGTTCATTATTAAGTCATTTCTGACAGTTAGCAGTGGGTGTATGTTACCTTGTCTGGCAAGCTATTTTTTCATAAATTTTCTGTCTGAATTCCTAATAATATCACTGTTTTTTTCACATTTAATAATGAAATAATTTCTTTACCCGAATATACTATCCTGTAACTATTATTTCATTGAAATCGTAGCCCTATTATATTCTCCTATAATAATATTTCAAAATTCATATCATTCGAGAAATTACTGCCCTATAACAATCATTATTGAGAAAAAAATTGAAATCGCTGTCCGAAGCATTCCGCTTTTTTGTAAAACATTTTCATTGTCAAAAAAAAAATTATACTTTAAAATATTCCAAAAGTATGCTATGTCTATCTGTCTGTCAACTGGATCAAACTGAATTTGTCAATTAAAAACTGAGAGTACTATTTGTTGATTAAGCAGTTTGACCTACTTTTGCTTTATATGTCTCGATATTATTAGATTAATTTTTAAAACCTGCTCTGTTCTTCCAGTCTTCATGTTCGTTCCAAAGAGAAATGCAGAAACATTTGCAACCACATGTGGTTGACTGTGGTCCATTTTATGGTTTCAGAGAGATTCCATGTGTACAATAATTAAGCACCATTTCATTTTCTTGCCTAATACGTTTGATCTTTCTTAGTACTGTTGCAAAGTGGTAACATCCGTAAAAATATAGGTGATCGAATCCTTTAACTGAATAAATTTTATGTATGTTTGTGGCGTGGTCAATTGCATTTACACACCAATAATGCTAGTAAGACCAACGTTAAATTCTTATAATTATATTCAGATACTTTTATTAATACAATTTCACTGTTTTATATGAAATTTTAGATTGTGTCGTTGTTGTTCTTTAACGACGTCAAAGAGTCAAGTGACAAACTACAGTTTATCAAAAAATAAACACCACGTAACTGGTTCATTGAAGGGAGTGATAGTAGAAATGGAAATATATAGAAGTAAGTCCATGTAATATATTTTAATGATAGAAATTGTGCACATTGTCATCTTAAATCTTTAAACCACTATACTATATAAAAAGCATACATACATTTATTTAGTTGGAGACAACATATGTAGCCTTTTCCACAACAAGTGCATTTCATTGGTTTGAAAGAAAATCAAAGACTTGATATGTTGTAACTGTTTGAAATCGGCATTAAGTCTGTAAGAAATGGTTAAATTTGTGAGCTTTAATTTCAAATTGTTTATAACCACACCAGTTATATACACGTCATCTAACCACACAAATGGCTGATTTTTTGTAGGATTTTTGACGCCTTCATTCAATTTGCGTACAACGTCCCTACTCATGAAATACGCCATTCCTTGACAAAATGGTGGCCATTTGTCCCATGGATATTCTTCCTTAGAAATATAATACTTAGACTTCGTGTTACAAAAGAGAAATTGGTTCATAAAGATATTACCTGCAAGCAAGTCTGTCACGGGTCTAGAGTTGGTTTCTAAAGTAACAATATATTTTTGTAAACGCTCCAAATGGACAAATGTATCATCATCAGTTTTAAGGACGTACGTAATGTTTTTACAGTATTTTGAAATCCAAGTAATGGCGCTCTTAGCTTTCATCGTTAAATTTTTATAAGTATCATGAAAATTTGCCTGTAGTATATCTCCATATCTTTTATTTTCCATATTCAATTTGTCAGAAATAGCGGCATTATTAGACATTCCACTCACAAAGACAATTTTTGCTTTATATTTGTTTAAATTGTCGCTAGAGCCCCAGGTTATGTGGATAGCTAATCGTTTACGTAAATTGTCTTGGGCGCTGTGTACGTACACTAAAATATTAACCGTATTTTCAGAGCATACTTGAAATGGGTTCATTAAAAATATTGGTTCATAGACTAATGTTGGGTGTTTCACTGGCATCACTGTGGTCACTGGCATCACCGTGGTCACTGGCATCACTGTGGTCACTGACATCACTGTCACATTCACTACTTTACTTGTCTCCAACTGCGGGTTTTGTGGTTCTTGTGAAACAACCCTGGCATTAAGTGACCTTATTGACATAGTGTTGTAGATGCTCAAGATCACTAAAGCGATTAAGGATAAAATCGGCAATCGATGTCCCCAGGTTCTTGATGAAAAAACCCCTAAATTTTCTCTTCGTAGATGCATTTCTGAAAAAAGAAAGATAGATGTTGATGTTATTTCAGGTCTTATCACTCGTTATAGTCACGTCACATCTGATTAAAACCATTTGTGATCTTAGAAACGTATCCGGTTGCCGGCAAACTTGAAGAAAACAATAGGATCGTGGTGCAAGCCTTGTAAAGCGTGTCATAGTCGTATTTTAAACGCAGTGGAAACTCAATTGGAACGCAGCATTGTTACCCGCTAAGATATCATAAGGACTGTGGTAAAAGCGCTATGAAGTTACCGTTACCGTTTTTGCAACATTTCTGCTACGCCTATAGGTTACCACATTTTCATAGCTTCATGGAGATGCTATGAAGCTTGTATAACGACTTCCCCGATTCCATGGCGATGTTCCAGAACAGATCACCGAACATGTCCATATTTGCGACAATAGTGATCAGCGTTTCCTATACGCTCACTAATGGCGACATAAAAAAACACGCCAACTTTCCGTCAATAAACTCAAAATTGATTCTTATTGGTGTTTTGAAGTTTGATCGATTAAGTCTGAACAACCATTGTTTAAGACAGTTCAAATTCCATCTTTCAGATTCGACATCTGTCATAATAACTCAACGAATGAATGCATAGTGTTTATGTGTTTTGTTGGGCCAATAATGGGCGCTGCTACTGCGACGATAAAATGGCTCAGAACATAGTCAGTTCACCATAATCGTGGTATAAGCCAGACATTGTGCAATTATAGCCAATTTCGCAACTAATCGCTGAGTCACCTCGTTTATTTTGGACATGGTTCGGCGGTTTGTTCTGGAACGCGTTGAAAAGGCCATGGGATCGAAAAAGTCGTCAGTTAAGCATTGTACCATCATCGTAGAAAAGACAAAAACTTTAGAACGCTATATGATCGCATAACCTGCGGTATTAGGGCGACTGTTTTTGAGTTTGCAATTTTTTAGGGACTTTTTTGTCTGGTTTTTCTTACTTTGACTGCGATCTAGTATATTTCCAGTCATTGTAAGATCACAAATGGTCGTAGTCCGGTGTGACGGTGCTATATATAACTATAGCGCTACAATAATGTAATATTTTCATTGTTAAAATAAGTACTTAATACATCAATATTGTAGAGCGATAAAGACATATTAAAACTGAACCTAAATCTATATACTGCGTATGGTATTACTTTTAAGTGCACAAACATTTATTTTCAGTTCTATTAACAAAAACCCTGATGTTTTAATCAACTTATAAACTTACCTTTCGCAAAATTTTCATTGAATTTCTATATATCTATGGTTTATACGAATGGTTTAAAGATTGGCTTGTTGACCATAACCCTTCAAAAACTAAAGTTGTATTGTTATCCACCAAACGACTAACATATACCAGACCTTTATTCAGGAAAAGTAAAATTAGAAATAGTAGATTCGAATAAAAACTTGGGTGTTACACTTTCTGTTAATTGTAAGTGATCGCATCATTTCGATAATTAGTCCAAAACGCCTGCCTAGAGCTACTCCAGCCTCTGCTGGATATTTTGACTGTTGTCGGCTAGGAGAGTCTTGTGAAATGGGGATACTCTATACTCCTCGTAAACATAAATATATTTTTACTCGAAAAACACTCAAGAATATCTATAAAACGGTGGGTGTAAAATTCCGAACTGTCCGAATTGGGTCAGAAAAGACAAAAAAAATCGAAACTAAAATTGCGCCAAAGGTCGTGCACAAATTCGGGAAGCAAAACATTCTGCATTAAAAAAAAAAGAAATTCTTAAAAGCTTCCATTTGGTCAAATCACATTTTTTTTCTTTATTTTTCGTGTACACAGTGCTAATTTATAATGGTGCCGTCTTACTCATTGCATGTTAGCCTGTTCCCATCATTCACATTGGCATCAAACTTTGTGACTTCAGTCACTTTCCTTTTCACATTTGTATAACCATTACTATTATTATAGTATATTTTTTTTTTAGACATATCTCTGTGGATATAGCATGGAGGAGTAGTACTAGTAGTTTTATGAAAGGGAATTAGACAAGGGAAGATGTTGCCTGGTTGTGGGAAACAGCACGAACCAGGAGTTCAAACTTTTGATAGCTATTTAGATTTAAATCTCCCACTGTGTTGTCATCTTGACATAATGTTTTAACATTTTTAATACGCCCATATGGAAATATGGACGTATATTGCCGTTGCCCCTGTCCGTCCGTTCCCGCGAATGCTACCATCTGAAACTTTTTTTGAGTCGAGAGAGGCATTGTGCAACTTTTTTGCATGTACGTCGAGTTGCATAAGATATTTAACTTAAAGCATGCCAATGTGTTCTTCCGGGGTTAAAACGTACACATGCAAAAGTTGCAAAAAAATTTTTGTCCGAATTTTTGTCCTTATATTGGTCCGTATTAAGAACAACATTTGACTTTCTAGGTTTTCGCCTTTAAAATATTTGGACGTCGCATGTGACGTTTTTTTTCTTAACCAATGAGATACTTCTATTATCTCTAGCATCCAATCAGATTGGCTTAGAATAGACATGGCGCATGCCTACTTAAAGGTTTGTTGTCACGTGAATAAAAATAAGGACACTTTTTGAGCGTCTTTCCTTTAAAAAACAATATGGAGAACGACTCGATCGCTGTTATTACGCTGCTTGCAATCTGTTCCTTTCTCCTCATTGCCATTGTTATTGGAATTATTTTAACAGTCCAGATTCTAAAAATCATTTATACCAGGTGCACGGGGATATTTGTTTTCTGGACATCCAATATACAAGTTTAACCGGTAAGTCATAAACTCTAGGTCTAAACGTCTACATTTAAAACGTCACACGCTTATATATGCCACAAATTCAATTCAGCAGTATTGTGACAATTAAGGATTATGTAATACCTGTTTTCTTTGGTAGCCTTTTCCATTAGTCTCGTCTTAACGTCTCAGTAATCTTTTTGTTAGATTGCCGTTAGCAGGCTTGTAACTTGTTTCTTGCAGACATTGTTATTCTCAATTTTCAGACATGTTACTTAAGAAGGGAAAATTGAATACATTACAATGCTTTATGGATGATGTACAATGGGCTTTAGGTCAGTCAGTATTTTGATTAGCAATAGTCCGTATTGAGATATTTCTGTCTCTTTCTAATTACACCACCAGTTTTTTTTTCTTTGTCTTCATCTATAACCTCGTCCCCAACTCCAAAATAGGTGTATAATTTCATTAAGTTATCAAATTTGAATACAGTTATGATATTATTTTTTTAGATGAAGGCCTCAAACATAAACACGCCACTGACGCAGAAGTCACTGATCGTAGTGAAGTACTGATAACTACAGATGTCACTGATAATGGTGCACTAAAACTAAAGATGTATATAATAATCGTGACGTACCTACAAATACAGATGTCAGTAATAACGTTGAGGTACTAAGAACTGCAAATGCCACTGATAATGGTGTACTGAAAACTATAGATGAGACCGACTTTGGTGTACTGAAAACTGCAGATGTCACTAATAATTGCGAGGTATACATAAATACCGATTTCACTGATAATGGTCAATTACTGACAACTAAAGATGTCACTGATAATGTTAAAGTACTGAGAAATGCAGACGTCACTGATAATGGTGCACTGAAAACTAAAGATGTCTCTAATAATGGTAAAGTACTGATAAATACAGATGTCAGTGATAATGGTGAATTACTGAAAACTATATATGTTACTGATAATGGTGCACTGAAAACTAAAGATGTCTCTAATAATGGTAAAGTACTTATAAATACAGATGTCACTGGTAATGGCGAGGTACTGATAAATACAGATGTCACTGATAATGGTGCACTGAAAACTAAAGATGTCTCTAATAATGGTAAAGTACTGATAAATACAGATGTCACTGATAATGGTGAATTACTGAAAACTATATATGTTACTGATAATGGTGCACTGAAAACTAAAGATGTCTCTAATAATGGTAAAGTACTTATAAATACAGATGTCACTGGTAATGGCGAGGTACTGATAAATACAGATGTCACTGATAATGGTGCACTGAAAACTAAAGATGTCCCTAATAATGGTAAAGTACTGATAAATACAGATGTCAATGATAATGGTCAATTACTGAAAACTATATATGTCACTGATAATGGTGCACTGAAAACTAAAGATGTCTCTAATAATGGTAAAGTACTGATAAATACAGATGTCAATGATAATGGTCAATTACTGAAAACTACATATGTCCCTGATAATGGTGAATTGAAAACTACAGATGTCAATGATAATGGTCAATAACTGAAAACTATATATGTCGCTGATAATGTTCAATTGAAAACTACAGAAATCAATGATAATGGTCAATTACTGAAAACTATATATGTCGCTGATAATGGCGTATTGAAAACTACAGATGTCACTGATAATTCTGCACTGAAAACTACAGATGTCAGTGATAATTATGAGGTACAGAAAAATACAGATGTTATTGATAATTGTCAATTACTGAGAACTGCATATGTCCCTGATAATTCAGCACTGAAAACTACTGATATCAATGATAATGATGAGTGGAAATATAAGGATAAAGCACTTTCTGATATTGTGTACGAAATAAAAGATAACGATGATCTGATGATTACAAATGAGATATGCACACATTTGAATACAGAGATGAATGACATATCTGAAAGGAATGAAACCCTTAATGATATTTTGGGAATTGATGAAATAATTAGTGCTAGTGAATATGAAGAGGATGACGAAGATGATGATGATAGAAATTATCTTTCAAAGATGTTAGAGAATTGGACTAAATTTGAAGATAAGATAAGTGAAAGTAATGCGAAAGAAGATGAAGGACTTACTGTTAATGTATCATTGGTTAATAGAGGAACTCAAGAGGCAGAAGGTGAAAAGGTGTTGGATTCTGACTGGGATAAAGAGGAAGAAATTATTGATGTTGTAACTGATGGATCTGAATTCCTGAGAGACAATAAAAATCCAAATATCTACATAAGACGGGTCTTAAAATCAAAAGTAAAGAACAGAGTATACAATTCAGTCCATTGTTGTCTATTTTTCCAAAAACTTATTCAACATTTTAGGCCACATTTGAAAGCAAAACATTGTCATATCAAGAAAGTAGACAATGCCTTTTCTGTCCATGCAGCTGGAAATGAAAAACCCTTGGAACTTTTGAGAGCTCAAGGAGATGATCTGAACAATAGGAGAGTAATAGAAAATGGGTCAGGCGAATTGCTGTTATTTAGACGACCTTCAAAAAACTTAGACGCTTCTGAATATGGACCATGTCCAAATTGTTACGAATGGATATCTAAGAACAATATTAAACGGCACCAGATTAAGTGCATGGGTATAGACAATGCACTTGGAATACAATCAAAGAGAAACCTACTCTTGCAATCTGACATCGCTTGTGGACGTTTCAAGTCAAATGCATCTGAATTCCTATGGAAAGAAGTTTTTTCAATAATGACAGTTGATCTTATATCTGAAATTGCACAAAATGATGTTTTGATTGTGGCACTCGGTGAATGTTGGTTAAGACAAAACATTGATAACGCACTGAAGAGGGCACATTATTCCTCCCAAAGAATGCGGTTAGCTGCCCGGTTGTTGGTGGAGCTAAGAAAATTGGTCGCAGATACTGGTAATGAAAAACACATATCTATGTGGGATTTTATAAAACCAGAATTTTTCCATATCATGGCCCAAGCTGCATTAGAAGTTGCTATACCACTGATTGATGATGAAGATGAATTAAAATCTCCATCAAATTGCTTGAAACTGAAATATGACATTCTGAGATTGACAAATTTTAAGTGGAGCTTTGTTGTTAAAGAACAAAACGATAAGGAAAGAAAAGACTGTAAAACGTTTTTACATCTGATGTCACTTGAATTCAAAGCAAGTCACCAAATTGGCGTACACAGTTCTAATGAAGAGACAATTTACGAAAAGCAAAGATATTCCAGCACCGTCAAATATTGAAGAGCTAAGCGTCTCATTAGCGAACTATCAACATGTTCCTTGAATTCTTCAAAGGAAAACTTTTTTCATATTGTAAAATTCCTGCAATGCAGACTCTTATCTTACAACAAAAGGCGGTCTGGTGAAATCGATGCCATCAGGTAATTGTCACCTCCTTGTTCTCGAGATCTATCAAATTGGAAATTCAAATAAGACAAATTTCTGTTTGAAGTTTCTGAACTATTTTTATTACGTTAAGTGTTAAGTCACATCTTAACATTCTTAAACGGGGGTTGATTTGAATTTAGACATTTTGCTATTATTACAGGATTGTAATTTACAAGAAATTATGATTATCTCTCTAGTATGAATCATGAACTTTTTAATGTTGCCCGTATTACTATAATTTCAGTTTGAGAAGCTTTTTGTCAAGAAAGAAAAAAAACTGTCAGATGTGGATCAAAGTCTAATTGGGGAATTGTCCTTATTAGAAAAACATCTTTTGGAATCCCAAGACAGGCCTAGGGTGGAGCAGACACTTTATTTAGAAATTAGGATTAGGGGTCTTGATATTGGATTTTCTTCTGTTCTTATTCTGATCTGAAATTAGAAAAAATAACTCGCCCGATAGGCGAGAAGTATAGTATCTGTTATGAACTGATTGTTTTTAGTTTACTATGAACAATATTATCATTTAAGTTCTTATTTTTTGAATATGCAACTATCATTTTCTGCTTATAGACATGGGGGAATTTCTCTTGAAGACTCTTATAGTGGGCATGAACTATCTTGCTTGCTCGATTGCTGGTTGTATTAAACGGGACAACAAAGGGTGCTATGCCTCCGTTATGATGAATATTTAGTCCTATAGGTCTTGCTGTATTCAATGTCTCAATCCAATGGGTTTCCCTAGATTGACGGAATTTGGTAGTTTTATCTTCGGGCAAGTCAATTTCTATACGCTCAATTGGGATTAGGGTGAGATCGTCTATTGAATGATCGTCGAGGTTGAAATGATTAGAAACAGGCTTGTCTTTCTTTAATTTGATGCCTGACCTATGAGCATTAAAGCGAGTTCGTAAATTATTCTTAGTTTCTCCTACATATTGTTTGGGGCATTTTTTGCATGAAATTAAATATATTACATTCGAATGTTCACATGTTAGATGTTCCTGGATCGGGTACCTTTTATTCGTAGAGTTGCTTACAAAATAATGAGTTTCTGATATAAAGGGACATGTTTTGCATCTACTGGACAAACATGGAGCACTTCTTAAACCTGGAGATACTTCGGCATAAAGTCTGTTTTTAGCTGATATCTGAGCTAAGGTGGAATCTTTTATGTTTCGTAAAAATCGTTCAGAGTACCCACGCTCTTTCAGTTTTGAGAAAACAATCGTACAAGCTTGGTTGAAATCAGAAGATCTTGTACAAATTCGATGAATTATATGACTTAATTATACCAGAAAAGGTATGTTTTGGGTGAAAGGAGCTCTTGTGCAAGAGTTGATGAGTATCAGTTTCTTTGAAATACACTTTAATATCCAGTTTATTTGTTTCTGCTATGGAATCTCCCTTAAAGACTGTGGTATCGAGAAAGTCTATGCTTTTGTCACTCATGTTTGCGGTTAGTTTGATAGAAGGATGGTGGTTGTTGAGAATTTCAAAGAATTCCCAAAACTGTTCGATAGAATAAGTCCAAACCAGAAAAACGTCATCCAAAAAGCGTTCGTAAAAAAGTGGGTCAAATGGACAGAGGGGCAACACCTCACGTTCCCACTCTGCCATGAAAAGGTTTGCGTACGAAGGGGCGAATCGTTTGCACATTGCTGTCCCTGAAGTTTGTAAATATGTTTTACCATTAAATGAGAAATCGTTTCGACTAAGAAAATCTCTAAAAGCTGTAGAATTGCATCGTCGGGTCTGTTTGGATCTGGGTTTCTATTAAAAGCTTTACGAACTGCCGTTAAACCAGTAGTGTTATCGATATTGGTATACATAGAAGAAACGTCGATAGAAATTAAAATAGCATTAGAGGGAACTCGAAGATTTTTTATTTTATTGACAAAATCGGTTGTGTCTTTAAGGTAGGCGCGATGTTGGCATGCTAGAGGTAGTAAGGAATGATCAATGTATCCTGACAGTCAGATATAATCGGGCGGCCTTTAGGGATTTTATTCGAGATAAACCACTCCTTGGTTGGATTCTTATGGATTTTAGGCAAAGTGTACAAATGTCAGACAGATAGTCATATTGTTTCTGTTTGAGACTAAATCGGCAAGAATATTATTAATCATGTTAGCAGTTTCTTTGTAAATTGGTTTCGGTAAAATGGTATAATGTTTAGGATTATTCAGTTGATTCTCTGCTTCTGAAACGTAATCCTCCCTATTCAGAATGTTTCGCTTAACATCCGTTTTTTTAATAGGGTCGTTTTAAATAATGTTATTTTTAGTCTAGAAACTTCTAGAAGGAAGATAACTCTTTTTTTTGAAAAAAAAAACAGACCACAATTTCTTCGTTAAATTAATTCTAAAACACGAACAACACAAATTCGAAGATTATTCGGTCGACGGTATCTTTTCATTAATATTTTCTCTAGGTAAAACAATAATTCCAAAAGTAGCTAGCTTTGTTTCAAACAACAAATCACTTATTTCATCCGGAACGAAAGGCCTCGGCTCAATCGCGGAAGCGGGAAAGAGTATAAGCGACACAGTGAAACAATCTAACGAGTTGAAAGAATTACAACTAATAAGAGATCTGCGAAACAGGAGATTAGAAGAAGGGAAAGGAAAAGGTTTTAAAGTTATAGGATAAAAATGATTGTCCAAAAACTTATTTTGGTTCAGGAGATATACAAAAATCATTGGGTTCTCTTCCTGGATTTACATGGGCAAAATATCCCAGAGAAAAACATCTTCCCAGTAATAATTACACTGGTCCAGGTACCAGGTTAGATCTGCGATTAGACGAAAACGATAAACCCAAACCAGTCAATAGAGTTGACGCCGCTGCGCTTAAACACGACATACTATACAGAAACAAAGACATAAACTTCAGACACGAAGCAGACAAACAAATGATAATCGAACTTGAAAATATTCCAAATCCAACTTTCAAAGAGAGAATGCAAAGGGCTCTTATCATAAAACTGTTAATGGTCAGCCGATTTAATCAATATGCCAGTCGAAAGAGGATATAAATATTGCTTAACAGTTACAGATTTGTATACGAGATATGCTTGGGTTATTCCTTTGAAAAACAAAACAGGATTATCAGTCAAACACGCATTTGAAACGATTATGAAACAATCTAACCGACATCCTGAAAAACTGTGGGTAGATAAAGGAAGTGAATTTTATAACAAAAATATGAAATCTCTGGGATTTGAAATTTACAGCACGCATAATGAAGGTAAAGCTGTAGTTATTGAGAGATATAATAGAACTGATAGAAATAATAGAAATTATTCAAAAAGTTCACAGAATTGAAATCTCAAAAATGGCTTAAAATATTTTAGGTTTTAGATGAATACAATAACAAAATTCATTCATCTATAGGTGTCACACCAACACAAGCCTCAAATAATCCAAATATTATAATGTCAATTAACGCGCAACATAACTACGAAAATGAAATAAAGAATTTAAATATCAAACCCAAATTTAAAGTCGGAGATCGTGTTCGTATTTTCAAATATAAAAGTAAATTCGAAAAAGGTTACGATGGATACTGGACAAACGAAATATTCATCGTTGATAAAGTAAACACCTCCGACATACGAATTAATCGATCAAGACAAAGAACAAATCATAGGAAGGTTTTATCAAAACGAACTTCAAAAAACAGACTAGTCAAAAATGAATGCATTTCTCGAAACAAAAGATAATTCGGATGATGAAGAATTTGATAGAAGATTAAGAAATTTAGATGTAGACAAGCATTTACGCTTTCTTAGATTTAAATTTTTTTAAAATTTAAATGCAAATTTATGTTCAAAATATTATTGAATGTGTTTTATCAGAATGTTATACAATTTTTTCAAACACAAACTACGTATATATTTCGTCAATCGGGTTTTCAACAATACTTACCGCAACCCCGAAAACATAACTCCTCAAAAAACTGACTTTTAAAAATGAATATCTTTCTCGATAAATTTGGAACTGTTACAACCACAAACTTTCAACTTATGAGATGGGCGAATGAGTTAAATATATCACCGTTTCTTATTGTATGAGAGATGAAATAAATGATCTCAAATATAAGAAAGGCAAATTTTATGCTATAACAAATATACATACTTCCGATCAAAAAGGAGTTCATCATTCTGCTTTGTACAAAAACTCTTCAAATAACTTATATTTCTTCGATTCTTTTGGATTAGAACCAACTGAAGAGATAATGAAATTGACTAATCAACCAATCAAATGTTCAACATTTCAAATTCAATTACCGGGAAAAAAGTTTTGTGGACATTTTTCACTTTGGGTTTTATATCAGTTGAGTTTAGGAAAACAGTTTGAAGAAATTATAATAAATTTAACTCAAAAAAATGGCGAACAAGTTTGGATTAGGTTCTTTATCTTTAGAAACCAAAAAACCTAACACTACAGCGTGGATAAATAAAGCGAAACCTTACTTTGTGGATCAAATCGGAGACACTCTTCAAGGTGATTTAGATCTGAACAATTTCAAAGTAACTAATTTAAAGTCTCCGGAAAACGTTAATGACGCTGTTCACAAGAAATATTTACGGGAATAAATAAATTCAATTGAAGTAAATAAAAATCATTTAGAAGATAAAATAAGTAATGTGAAAAGATTCTTCAAACGTCAACTAAATAATAAATTTTGTTAATGAAACTAAACTACAACAAGAGGTAGCAGGTTTGATAAGTTTTATTTAAAAACAACGTCAACGTAGTGAACAAAACTGAGTTACAAAATTTAAATTCATTAATATCTAAATTAGATGATAAAATTGCAAAACAAAAATTAGACATTCAACAATTAATAGATAACATTCCAGGTGAAAATGAAGATACGTTTCAACAGGAATTAAATGCTCTGGAAACTAAACTTAACAGTGAGTTACAAAAAGAACTAAGAAATATTAAACAACAAATACAAAACATAGATAGCGAAATCAAAACCTATATTCAACAACAAATACAGAACATAGATGATAGCGAAATTAAAACCTATATTCAACAACAAATACAGAACATTGATGATAGTGTTATTCAACAACAGATAACCACTATTAATAACGTAGTTTTAAAACAGGACAAAAATATAGTCGCATTAGAAAAGTATCTCAAGAAAGAAAATTAATCATATTATTTTAGTCTTCTATTTGGAAGTTTGAGACGTGACGATATTTCTATTACTGATAATATTGATAGATCAAAAGACTATGAATATAAAAAATATGGAATTACAGCAAATATAAGAGTATTTTCTCCAGATTTTACCTTCCCCTCTAAATCATTTAATTCTAATTTTCTTTCCGAGGAAAATTGAAATTGTAATTGAAATTATTTTTCCTATGCAGGTAAAAGTTGAATCAATATTCTTCAGACAAAACTTACATCTAATAAAAAATTTAACGCTCAAAAAGTTCTTCAGTTTAACAATGGTATAAAAAATGTAGAAATTAAAGAATATGAAAGTAACGACAAAAACAACAAGGTTAATCACTTATATGAAATTAAAACTAGTGGAAAATATATAGATAGGTTTAGAATGTTAATCATACCAGATAATAAAGAAGATGATTTTGATATAATATTGCAGTCGAAAGCTTCACCATCAATGAATATCATTAGAAATCCAGAACCACGAAAAGAAGAATCATTTACCAATTATGACTTTTTACGAACGACAGACTTTGAATACGTAAAACTATATTTTGTTAATAAAAGTTTTTCACACGAACATACCTCTTCAACTGATTTATTTACCTCAATCGATATTCATAAGAATCAATATCGAAAAACCAAAATTTTCAGTTCATCTGAATAAGATTAATGATTCGAAAGAACAAATATCCTTAGTAAATGTAAAAGTTTTTTTATTTAACCTGAAATAATTATAACAGATAATGAAAAAATAAAGAATGCACAACTTACTGGGCAAGCTATTGTAGATGTTAAACACTTTCCTTTTTTTAGTGTATCAGAAGTACACTTAATTTAATTACCTAAAAAATGGAACTAGAAAGCAGTAGACAAAACTATATGATAGAAAAACAAAATGAACTAAAAGAAAAACTAAAACACTTTTTAAAGAAAAACATGGAGTAGAATTGATTCTGTTTTCAAAACATTAAGCACAATTCTAACAGTAAGGATAACAGTGGCAACAGCCGTAACTGGTGGATTAATGCTTCCAATAATTGTCCCAACTGTATTAGCCGCGTCCACTGCCCTTCAAACTTCATCTTGTGGATTGATTACTTTAGGTTTTACATCAAAACAGAAATCTCATTATAAAAAGAAAACAGAAATTTTAAATACATATCTTAATAAATTGTTTATATTTTTTGAAAGATCGAGAGAGGATAAGAACATAACCATTGAAGAATTAGAAAAATTCAATGAAATTTTAGATAAATTTAATGTAGAAATATCATCAATAAAAGTTAAAAATTCCTAGTTAAAAATAGTTGCTCAAAAAATATAATAAAATTGAAATTTTAGACGATGAAACAATCATATCAAATGAACTTTTTTTCAGTATTAGTAATCTTATCTCTGATAAATTTGATACATTTAAAGGACAAATTGAATTAGATGGAGAGATAATTCAAGATTGAGAACACAAACAAAGCATGCAATTTGTAGGCTTTAATGCCAAAACTTTTCACAATTTCTTCGCAACTGTGGATGTAAAATCGGATGCTTCTGATTGGTATTTCTCGGGAGAAATCATATTACGTAGAAACAATTTCAAAGAAATAAAAAGATCAAAAAAGGGTAGTGGTGTTACCCTACTCAAAAAAAAAAAAATGAATATATCGGTATAAATTGTTATTTACCAAGCGATGGATACTGCTTTGTAAAGTGCGTAAATCATGTTTTAAACGAAGACTACACAAAAGAATTTCAAGATTTCATCAACAGTTTTTCAAAATCAAACAGAAAAGGAGTTATGACAACTGCTAGAATCTGTGAATTCAATAAGAAATTTAATACTTATTTTCAAATTTATATACCCAAACATAGACATTTTCAACCAAAGAAAGTATCCGAGGAATTAGATTGGGTATTTTACTTACATAAATCACATTTCTGTCTCATTAGAATGAATAATAAAACCTTAGGCATTAAAGAAATAGAAGATAATTACGTGAAAACGTATGGAGAACTTGTAAAGATGATAATGCGGTAACACAAGTTTCACCTCTAAAACTAAATGTTTTTCCAACAATTCACGATGATTGTTTATACGCATGGGATTGCGAAACCTATCGCGAAAAAGAAACGAATAAAGCCATTCCTTATTCTTGCACGTTAATTAATTTAGAAAAACTAAGAAAAATGTTAGACAGAATAAAAACATAACTTTCCAGAATTAAACCCCACTGATAATGTACCAGAAGAATTTTATAATAAATTAATGAATATAGTAGAAATATTTGTGGGTAAAGATTGTATCGATCAAATGTTACAACAAAAAATAGATCAAAAAAGATTAACATTGATTCATCTGTCCAGGCTCGGTTCCTTAATAACTCGGCTCTCTCATCAATGGGTATTAGAGGATTCGATCTGTGCTCTACAGGTGCTTTCTAAAAGTAACTTCAGTATCAGGTACCATCTGCTCTTTATTCCTCGCAGAGTTTTCAATCACTGAAAGTTCTAATCTCTTCCGTATTTCCTCACTTGTACTTCGAATATCTTCTCGAGGAGCGCCCGTCATCAGCCGCTCGACTCTACTTTTACGAGTATCAACATAGCTCCTTTCCGCAGGAAGTGTAACTCCTTGCTCTGCAAATCTTCTGTCAATAGTCAATGGACTCTGCAACCGCTGGGTGTACATCACCAGCTCTTCGACTGTTGAGCACGCTCAAATACTGAGCTTCTTGAATCTTCTTGAGGTATCCCACCTCTGTCACCAGAAAAACTGTGTAATATCCTAGGTTAATACCTTAGAGCAAATTTACGCTCGGTCTTCTTTCCAACACTGGGGTTTCGCCAACAATTGGTAGAGTGGCGTGACTCTCCTAGGTTACTTTATTCTCGTGGGTAAGAGCTAGCCAAAAGGTAGCAAGGCTCAAAACAAGATTCAATAACAAAAGTATAAATGCTTTAAATCCTAATTCACATAAAATATCCAGCTCATACATAAATGCTCGAAAACAGTCTCGAAAGGAAAACAAATAAATACTTGGAATCAGAATATAACCATATAAATACCTATAGCGCCACAGAGGGAGTCAATGCCTACTCAGTTCTAGGCATAATTCCTTTATCCTATTAGTTCCGAAGGATCCCAACAACGAACTGTCAAATAAGGCGTGCATCGCCGTATTTAAAGGCCTGGGTAACATGACATCCCTAGCACCACCTATCGTAATAATACGTATCAATGAAAATAAAAGACTCGGAAATCATGAAAAATGAACGAAAGTCGCTTATCCTGTGTATTATGTCATCCCAAAATAGAGAGATACTATAATTGAACTACGATGACAAAATGCCATGACAATGACAATGAAATATTTATAAAAATAAAATAGCACACCTTACATGTGAAGACGAAAGCAACGAATAACCAGACGCTTAACCGGAAGTTAAAAATATACACAACTCTAAAAAGGATGGATTGGATTTAGAATATGAACTGCTGGTTATTATACATGCATACCAAGTTTCATCAAGATCAAATAAAAACTGTAGACTCTATCATGCCTACAAGCCAAATTTAACGCGTTTTTACTAGGTCAAGGGCAATAACTCTGAAACCGTTCATTTGATTATCATTTTCGAACTTTATTGAGCTATCATCAATTATACACGCATACCAAGTTTCATCCAAATCAAATAAAAACTGTAGTCTTTATCGTGTATACAAGCCAAATTTGACGCGTTTTTATTAAGTCAAGGTCAATAATTCAGACAGCGTTCATCGGATTATTACTTTTGTTCGAACTTGAGCGAGGTCTCATCAATATATACATGCATACCAAGTTTCAACAAGATGAAATAAAGATAGCTTGCGATGCAAGGTAACATACGCCCACTGGCAGCTGTCAGAAATGATAAAACAGTCTTTAGTGACTAAAAGACGAATTTTCTCATATTGAAGAAATTATTTATCTGAATAATTCCACAAAATTTTTTAAAATCAATATCAATAACCCAAATACAACAAACAATTAAATCACACCGCTCTAATCAAGGGCAAAAAACAACTTTTGACGCGTGTTTACAAAGTCAAGGGCAATAACTCAAAAACCGTTCATCAAAAATGCGTCAAGTTAGAACTTGTCCGAGATCTTATCAATTCCAATGATCACACCAAGTTTCATCAGAATCGGTTGAAAACTGTAGCTTCAATCCTGCTCACAAACTATTTTTAACATATTTTGACGTGTTTTTACAAAGTCAAGGGCAATAACTCAATAACCGTTCATTGAAAATGCGTCAAATTAGAACTTGTCCGAGATCTTATCAATTCCAATGATCACACCAAGTTTCATCAGAATCGGTTGAAAACTGTAGCTTCAATCCTGCTCACGAACACTTTTTAACAAATTTCAAGGCGTTCTAAGTCAAGGGCAATATCTCAAAAACCGTTCATCGAAAATGCGTCAAGTTAGAACTTGTCCGAGATCTTATCAATTCCAATGATCACACCAAGTTTCATCAGAATCGTTTGAAAACTGTAGCTTCAATACTGCTCACGAACTATTTTAACAAATATTGACGCGTATTTACAAAGTCAAGGGCAATAACTCAAGAACTTGTCCGAGATCTTATCAATTCCAATGATCCCACCAAGTTTCATCAGAATCGGTTGAAAACTGTAGCTTCAATCCTGCTCACGAACTATTTTTAACAAATTTCGACGCGTTTTAACAAAGTCAAGGGCAATAACTCAAAAACCGTTCATCGTAAATGCGTCATGTTAGAACTTTTCCGAGATCTTATCAATTCCAATGATCAAACCAAGTTCCATCAGAATCAGTTGAAAACTGTAGCTTCAATCCTGCTCACGAACTATTTTTAACAAATTTCGACGCGTTTTAACAAAGTCAAGGGCAATAACTCAAAAACCGTTCATCGTAAATGCGTCAAGTTAGAACTTTTCCGAGATCTTATCAATTC